CTCAACCCCAAAACTACCAAAACCGCACCCCCCCCAGGTCCACTATATCCTGGATGAGATGCTTCTTAATGGCTGCGTGGTGGACACCAACAAGGCCAACATCCTGGAGCCGGTGCAGCTGCTGGAGCAGGTGCAGCAGTACTGACAGGGACGGGGCGGCACAGATGGTACGCCGCAGCACTAACAGCACGCGGCGGCACCGACTGGGTGGCGCGGGACGGACGGCATCGCAGCAGCGCCTGCGGCGCGCGGCAGCGCCGACGGCGCGCGGCGGCGCTCACGGGGCGCGCAGCAGTGCAGCTGCATGGAGCCAGGCCGGTGCCGAGGTGGCCCGGCCTGTGATCCCCGAGTCGGCCACGGCGCTTCGAACGCGGTTTGAGCAGCTTGGCTTTGTGCAAGCCTGGCGGTCCCACGCATGTGTGAATGGAACAGCCACGGGCGCCCTTCGCGCGGCTCGCGACCATGGACGCTTTTCGGCCGCCGACGGGACTTGACTTTTTCGATGCGGGTCCGGACTTAATTCTGTCCGCCGGCGCTGCGACACGCGCCGACTCGCCCCGCCTGCAGCCGTTCAAGTCGGCCGCGGAGTCCTTGGATGCAAGTGTAAATGGAATCGCAGCAACGGCCTCCTGCGTGGCTCCTGCGCTGCATGGGGCGGCTCCGCGACCGCCGCTGCCGAGGGGCTCTCGGCTGCGGCGCGAGCACCGGCACTTCTTATTTTTACACGACTGCCGGCCTGGACGCACCCGCAGGGCGGATTGCCGCTAAGCGGCAGGCCCCCTGTCCCCTGGCGGCACCACGGCGCACAAGTCCAACCCAGGAAGCTTCCTTGCCATGCTGCCAGCTCAGCGGAGTCGGGTGACGGGCTGCTGCGCGGGCTGCTTAGGTGCTTCGAATCTTCAGCGGGGGGGCTGCCTGACTTCAAAGCACGGGGCTGCAAGGGACAACAGCCAAAGGAGGGAGCCAGCTGTCGCAAAAAGGTACCCGGGGTCGTGTGCGGGTGACGTTATCACATTCGTGCGTGCGTGTGCGCTTTCTTGGAGCAGCAACACCGGTTCGAGGGTACATGGATGCGTACAGCGGGTGCGTTGTACATCAGAGGGTGTGTGGTGGGACACATCGGGCGGCGGCGGTACGCCCCTCACCGCGCCGTCGCCCTTACATATATGGTAGGCGCGCCCCCCGAGCGCACGCCGCGCATGGCGCCGCCGGCGCCCGCAGCCCAGGTGCGGATGAACCGCCGGGCGCGGCGCCCGCGGCGGCGGCGCCGCGGGCGAGGGTATGCGCGTGTGATTTTCAAGGCACCCAGGCCCCCAGGAGGGGAGGCAGTGAGGCGTGCTGGGCGCCTGAGTTGTGACGCCTGTCCCGCGACCCCAGGGCGGGCGCGCGCCGGCAGGCGGGGTGTGGTGGTACAAACAGCCAACAGTAGCGGTCAGTGGTGGACAATCAGGGCGCGCGCCCGCGCCGCCGGCAGGGGCGGCGCGGGCGGACGCGCACCCGGGCATGCTTACAATTTGCTACTGGGGCCCCGCGCAAAGGGCGCCCTCTCCGGGGCGCACGGGCGGGCTGGAGCCCCCGCGCCGCGCACGCCGCGGCCGCAGGCGCGGCCCCGGGCAAAACAGAGACAGGTGTACACACTTCTTATATTTGGGCGCGCCTCGCATGCGCACGTACGGCGCCCCTGGGCCGGTTTCCAGGGCGGCGGATTCGTCCATGAAGATTGCACGGTCAGTCTCCCGGATAACAAACCCTATTCTCAGCAACAGCCCCGCCCGCTGGCTGCCCGCCCAACCCAAGCCGGCCCCTCCGCAGGGGACGGGGGTAGAGCGGGCCAACCCAGCTGGCAGCAACGCAGGCGCGCCAAGCAGCGGCCCTACCAAGTTCAAAACGGATCGGCGGCGCGCCCGATGGCAGGGCGCGCGCGCCGCGGGACCCACAACAACAACTCAGCGCCTCCCGAGCCGCCTGCGCTCACACGACATTTGGGTTTTGCATGACGGCGGGAATGCAGAGCGCCGGCAGGCGCCCTCCGCCCCCAGTCCCCGGCCCAAAGGTGAGTGCGGCGCACCCCGCACGCCGAGCAAAACGACACGAGAAGCCCTCTAAAGCCCCGGCTCAGGCGCCCCTGGCGCGCGTGTGCGTGCACGTGCGCGTGCGCGGCGCGGCTCCGCGGCGTCCCCAAATGGGGTGGGAGGCGGGGCGGCGTTTAGGGGGCCTCTGGGCGCTCGACCATGACGGCGCCGTCCGCCTCGGCGGCGGCGATGACCTGCGGGCGCGCGGGACGGGAGGCCGCAAGGCGGGTTTGGGGTTCACGGCCAGCGTTGGGGGAGGTGCGGATGCGAGGGAGCATCGGCGCTGCTCGGCGGGCCGTGCTGCACAGAACGTCATGCTATGCAGCCGTCGGCGCCACGGCCCGGCTCGACGACGGGCGCGCGCCGCGCAAGGCGACAGCCCCCAGTTGAACGCAACCGAATGTGCACGCGCGCGCTCAACAACTGAATGCGCGCAACCACTCTCACCCCCCCCCCGGCCGCCCTCTGTGCACGCTCGACCCCAAACCCCGCTCGTACTCACGCAAACACATGCGAGCAAGCATACCCACCTTTGCACCCATCCTCTCCCTGAGCCCCCTCTCTCGCCCATCCACACCCGCACCCGCACCCGCACGCGCACCCACGCCCACCGCCACCCAGGCGCACATACTCTCTCTCTGTCTGTGCCTGTCTTCCTCTCTGTGTCTCTATGTGTGTCTCTCTCTCACACACACACACACACGCACACACAACCACACACGCGCGCGCGTGCGCGCGCGCACCTGCGCCTTGCTCAGCAGGTTCAGCAGGCAGTGCAGGTCCGCCTTGCAGGGGTACCAGCACGGTCCCCACACGCACACACACACACACACGCGCGCGCGTGCGCGCGCGCACCTGCGCCTTGCTCAGCAGGTTCAGCAGGCAGTGCAGGTCCGCCTTGCAGGGGTACCAGCACGGCCCGTACGCCGCCAGCGCCCCCTGCAGCGCCGCCTGCGCGCCGGGCTGCACCATAAGCGCGTTGGCGCGCGCGCCGGACGCGCGGCAGAGCGCGTGGAGAGCAGAGACGGCGCTCTCCTTGAGCTGTGGGAAAAGGGGGTTGGCAGGCAGAGAGGGAGTGTGTGTGAGTTTGATGTGTGTGTGTGTGTGTGTGTGTGTGTGTGTGTGTGCGTGCGTGCGCGTTCGTGCATGTCTGTGTGCGTGTTTGTGTGTGTTTGTGGGAGGGCAAACGAGCAGGAGGTTATCTGGGTGTTGGTCGGCTGGGTGATGAGGGGGCGTCTGCACAGAGAGAAAGGGCGCTGCGAGGCGAGGGTGCTGAAATGGGGACGTTGGCACGGAGGCGGCGCCGCCAGCTGTGATGCGCAGGCAGCTGGACCCAATATTTATAGATTCGCGGTCCAACAGGCACCAATGGATGCGGAGGGACGGAGGCAGGCACCGAAAGAGGCAGAAACGCCACCTCAGACAAAGCTCGGCGCGAAGACTTTGCACGACCGCCAGGTCAGCAGGCGCGCGCCGCTCCCGCGCCCACATCACCCACCTGGGTCCGCGGCATCGGCTCTGACAGCAGAGAGGTCAGCGCCGGCAGGCCGCCCGCCTTGAAGATCTCCTCCTGCGCCGCCGGCGTCGCGGCCAGCGCGCCGACGACCGCCATGGCCTGCGCCTGGGCCACGGGGCGCGTGGGGTCGCGCAGCAGCGCCACCAGCAGCGGGACGGCGCCGCACTCGCTGGGGGGCGGGGGAGCGGGCGAGACGAGGGGGCGGAGTCGATCATCAGAGCGATGCCTCCGCTCACGTCTATCCTGGGGGTGAACTGAGCTGTGAGCGACGCGCGCGCTGGCCTTGATGAAGGCTCGGCTGCTTGCCTTTCTTGCCACCTTGAAATGAAGCCCAAAGTGCCAGGCATACGCGACACATCCAGTGCAGGAAAGGCCCCCTGCTGAGTCACAGGCCGACTGTTATAGTATATGGACACCCAGTCATGGGTAGGAAGGGGGGGGGGGCGTGTGGCTCACCAGATCGACTCCTGCGCAACGGCATTGCCGGCCATGCCGCTGAGCATGCCCAGCGCGGCGGCCGCGGCGGGCTCCGAGGGGTGGCCCAGCAGGTGTGCCAGCTGGGGCACACCGCCAGCTGTCACGAGGGCGTCCTGACCCTCCGGCTCCCGCAGC